CGTCTCCCTCCTCACTGCCCTGATCCCAGTCCCCTCTTTGAGCTTCTGCCACTCTTTCTGTCCATTGTCATCCATCCCTCTGCTCATCCGTTTTGTTCTCACTTTGGGGATTTTGTTGCGATACGGCTTGGGGACACTAGGAGGCGCGCTAGGCACTAAGATGTGCTCCTTTGAGGAGGCTGTGTGCATGCACTTGCCATCCTCCTGCAAATCAGAGATGAAGATGTAAAGTGAGTCTGAAGTAGCTTTTCTCATGTTCATTTAGAGCATTTCTTTCTGTGAAGACCACCCAAAGCTTGCTCTTGAATATTTTTTTCAAAAGAATATACAAACCCGTCTCGGATAACAGTAGTGCACCTGGAAAATACTGTGTTATTAAAGTTGAAAGCTAAAATCTCACAGTAGTGCTTTTGAATTAAGATTGGAAAGCAACATGGAGAAATAAAATATGAGGTATTTTGCAATATGTAGCGCGCACAGGTCGAAACCAATCTGTCGACCTCCATTTTGTTTGTATTTGGAACCCAGTTTTACAAAGAATCAATTCCAAGGTCCATTACATGACTTTTATTGACGCTACAGGCATATTTAAGTAGCATTTTAACATTTTTAACTGTCAAACAAGTGGAAAATTAAATTTGAGGTGCATCTTTTCCGAGCAGCGGGCCTCTCCGCTTCACACCAGCACCCACATACGTGTCCTCACCCTCTGTGAGCATGACTCTTGTGCCATCTGGCTCCAGGGAGAAGACATGCAGCCTTGTACAAGCTCACATGTTTCGGCCCCAAGAGACATCAGTCCCATAGCAAGCTATTTTTTGCCATATTTTATTTTGCAGTTATAAAGGGCTTTAAAGAGGGATCTACCACTTTTTTTTATGCTGCAATAGTCATTTTGATTTCTTTGATTTTCGCTGCTTTTGAAGTTGAGAGTTATGTTCATTAAGGCTTAAATGCATGGTTGATAAATCCTTTTAGGTTACTAGGCCATTCAAATGAGGGTCATCCTCCAAAATCAGATGACTGAAGCTACCTTGAAGCTGACAACATTTGAATATTTTGCTCTAGTTCTGTTCAATTTTTTTCAACCCTTTTCAATGCGGAAATTTCTTCTACCGATTGTGTACCATTGAAGAATTCAAATGCAAAAGTTTGTCAAGCGTCATTTAGACACAGTAATGTTCATCTCCATTTAAGACCATACATAATCAATCCATCACAAACTCATCAGACCCTTGGGTTTTTTTCCCCCCATAATGCATGCACAAGTCAATACCTTGTGGCATGATGGGAAAATGCTACATTTGTAGCATTTAGCCTACAAGTACATTCGAATGTATTTGCGAGTACTTTCAAACGTACTTGTGTGTAGGATAGAACGTACTTTTGAACATATTTCTTAAATACGTTTGAATGTACTCGCAAGTAGGTTTAAACGTATTTGCCAGTCAAAATATTTTTACTCCACACTGGCATCTCCACGCTTCCATAGTATCGCCTTGTTTTTTGGAGGTGGTGATGGGGTGTTGAAATGCCTTTCAGAGAGGCCCTGTATGTGGGAGATGTGTGGGAGAGTCGTATACCCACTCCTCTGTTTAGCGAGGATCGTTCGACCTGAACATAGATGGCCTCTCTCACTCCTCTTCCAAACCATCTGTATTCCTTGCCCAAGTGGAGTTTGTTCATCTAGCCTTTATTTCCGGCTGTTTTTATGAATAAATCACTCATCTTGAGTGTTGCGCTTGAGCTGCGAACATTTTCGGACGTTGTGAAATGATTTGGACATGTCTGATTTTATTATTACGACAGTGATATCAAACAGCTGAGTCTCCGCCGATGAAAAATTGAGAAGTCTTTTGATGTGACAAAGTGAATCACGAGTTCTTTCATCTTTCAAGATGCTCTCCTGAACCACTTTCATTATCGTCCTCACTACTCATTGAACCTGATAGTGTTCCGCACATCTAAAATGTCAGTCAAATGAAAAAGCTCGCTTAAAAACTGAGGTATCAGCATAACGCAGCCATGGGATTTAGAGTTCTAATATGTGTATAATGTCACATATTGGACGAATAGTTTCATCATATTATTTGTCCAAATAATTTTCTTTTGCCTTTGCTGCATCATCTTCAGAATCTAAACACACAATAAATATTTCACATCATTTAATACAATGAGGACCAACGCCTTTGTAGACAAATGTTACATACAATACAACCTGTATGTTTTGTTAACCCTTCAGGTCTAAGTGCTCAAATCTGATTTAGTACGTCTATCCGACTTTGTGGTGATATCTACTGTATGTACTTTTGAAGTGAACGATATCTCTTATGACTGTGTTTTTCTTTGCTGAACCCCTGAAACAGCAGACTTGCACAAATGTCCAACATTCTGGTAAACGACTGCATGAGTATCAACACCAGGAAGCAGGAACACCCAACCAAATAACAATAAATCATTTGACATAAATGTTTTGCTTCGGTAGATTTACTGTAGTGTGGAATATGTCTGTCCCTTTCCTTTGGCTAATATATGATTGTTTTTTTGTTTTGTTTTTTTGACAACTGAAGTCCGGGATTTTGTACGACTTCAGAGGATAATTTTTGGTCAAATTCCTGGTGCTGAGCTTGAGAGGTGGTGATATGCTTAAGTTTAGAGGTTATTCAATATGACAACCAATTGTAAGCAGGTGTTTCATGTGAACTCAAGGACATTTGGCATTTCCTCTGACACTTTGAGGTTCCACCCTTTTGGAGACCAGGTGAACTCATAAACGCCGCAGAGAATTCTGACAGCCCATCTTAACCCTCTTTGACCTAGCAGACGTTTATCAGCAGTCGTCCTGTGTCCTTACTGCTTTAAGAATTACTTTTATGCAAATGCGACGACTCGACGTAAATTAGAAATCATCGGAATGACCTTTATAAATATTCAGATGAGTCTACGTATCAGAAGATGGCTATTTGTTCAAGTGGAGGTCAAATGGCCTGAACTGTGAGACTGACAGGATAGTCAATTAGATCAGTCAGCTATTATGCCTCTGAAATGTAACACCAGATGCTAAACGACATGGCAAACCTCCCATGGGAAGGTCGTCCTGATTAAACAATGTAAATCTTCCTCCCACCCATCATCCTACCGTCCTAGACCTTACTCTCTCTTGCCATCGCTCCCTCGCTTTCTCCTTCTGTAGCTCAGCAAGGACGAATGAGTTCCTCCCCAGACGCAGGAATGCACCCACATGCCCACAGAGATACCCTCACTGAAAACATACAAACATACACACACACACACACACACACACACACACACACACACACACACACACACACACAAAACCCACGCAGTCGACACACACAAAACTCATGTCAAAGTCGACAAACATGGGAAAAGGTCATGGCAAAAGCTGCGTGATTTTGTTGGCCTATATATAAACAAGAAGCCGGGGGTGTTTGTAGGATTTGCCAGCATGTTCAGAGAAATGTGTGGGTGCTCACATCCTTCGTGATTACACGTTTTAAAGCAACAATTTACCAACATATTATCGTATTTTTATGACTGAAAAATTGTGTTGATGGTGCGCTTGCTTGAATGATGAAAGGAGAACGGCATTCCTGACATCGCTATAGCAACCATGGATCTCCTGCTTTGGCAGTCTAGATTGGCGGATGTCTTTCATGCTGTGTTACTGCTCGAGCAAGTACTAATGTTGCTGCTCCATTGCTAACGTTCTTGTTTTTTTCTTTTTTTTCTTTTTCTTTGAATGGCAACTGCAAAGTTGATATAAGTGCTGTAATGGTGGCAGTGAACTCAACTCAACTCACTTTTCTACTTTTTTCCCTCCAAATTTTGCTGCTGTAGATTGCGGATTTCTCCATTGTGAGATAAATAAAGGTTTTCTTATCTTATCTTTACACTAAGCAGCACTTTGTGTAAAGATAAAGGCAAATAGTGAACAATTCTTCAAAAGGGCAATTTTTATTGAACAGAAAAAGACAGAAAAACTGAAAGAGTTGTCCTGCACTGGTATGCCAAAATCAACCAATGAATTTGAGATTAAAGAAAAAGGGAAAAAAAGACTTAAAAAACACTAAATTGTCCCTTGGTGTGATTGTGAGCACGAATGGTTGTTCGTCTCTGTGTGCCCTGCGATTGGCTGGCAACCAGTTGAGGGTGTCCCCGCCTACTGCCAGAAGACAGCTGGGATAGGCTCCAGCACGCCCGCGACCCTTGTGAGGATAAGTGGATTAGAAAATGGATGGATGGATGTTTTTTTTTGTTTTTTGTCGGTCATCACATACGTTACAGTGACTCGCCTGCGATCTGTGGCGCTACAAGATAGCAGAGCACCGCTGATATACAATGGCAAGCAGGCCTGCTTTCTTTCTATTGACAGAACTTCAAACGTGTTTGATCATAAGCACAATATTCTATTTTTTGTTATTGGATTTCATAGAGAACAAAAAAAAAAAATGTATGGTCTTCTGTGTAGTTTGTTACATGGAGAGGAGCATATGTCTTACTGGCGATGACACATTCTCTACATAAGTTATTTTCGTATTTGAAGTGTGCTATATTTTCCAAGCTGATTTCTATGGCATTCACAAGTCTCAAGAATTTTACTTGTGTTACGATTTACAGCCTCCGACTTCAATGAGTCGCACATCTTAGGCGGTTACGCCGACATTCCCAGGTTACGCATGGTTTAGCTGGAGGGTGTGCCAGACAGGTGTGTGATTTAAAGTCTCTGGAAATGGCATTACTTTTAGCTACTTTTCTCTGTCAGTTTATGAACTGTTTTGTTTTTTTTACTCCCTGGCCCTAACCCCTTCGTGGTCCTTAGCCTTTTCTAGTACTCTTTGTTTACCGAATATGTATTATGGCTATCAGGTCACTACTTCTGAAGTTCTTTCTTTACACTTGTTTTGCAGATTATGAACTTTCTCTTTTAATCCTTTCAAATAGCCAGACAAATCTTCACACAGAATTAGAACAGTTGCGCGGGAGTCTGCGTAGACGAATTAGTGTCCTGACAATAATTGGAGTGTGAATGAATATTCAGCGCATCGCTCTTGCTTGTGTAGAATTGTGAGTTTTCCATTTTGCATCCACTTACGTCAGTCTTGATTTTATGCTTTGTGACTGTTTACTAAAAAGGTCATGTTTCATGCTTGATGGCATGTGCTTTTGCATAATGTGTAGCTGGTGTTTTCTGAGTGCGGCATAATAAGTTGGATGAAGCAAAAAGGTCACGCAAGCGTGTAATCTTGCCGACCCTTTACTCTGCTCAGCGATGCTTTTTGTCCTGTTTTGACTTCTCTTAACCGCTGTGCTCTAATTCATGCCATCTGTGCCTCATCACCCCTCTTCCTCTCCTGTCCTCCTCCGCTTCCAAAAAGTGTTTTTCCCTTCCTCATTAATGTGTTTCTCTGCCCGCTCACGCTGCTGAAGGCATCTATCTCTTGCTCTGTGGCTCTTATCGCTGCTCGTCGATTCTTATTTCTCCCGATTTGTCTCCCACCGACTGCCTCACTAACTCCCGCCCTACCCCTCCTCCTCTTCCCTCGCTATCTCTCCGTGCACACTTGATTCATTTGACACATCACGGAGGAATTCATCATTTTTGCGCGGTGAAGGATTTAAAAGGTGGATGTTTCACTTTTTGAGCGGATCCAAGCCCTTAAGCTGGACCCAATATGTTTTATTTCCAGCTGGTCATCATGGCAGGGACCGTGCTGCTGGCGTACTACTTTGAGTACACGGACACCTTCCCCGTGCACATCCAAGGTTTCTTCTGCTTCGACAAATCGTACTCCAAGCCGTACCCAGGACCGGAGGACTACAGCAAAGCGCCTCCTGTTCTCGTCTACTCCCTGGTTACGGCCATCCCGACTGTGACGGTGAGTCAGTATCCATCAGTGAAAATGCCACGCTCCCACAGGTGTTAAAAATGGGTGACACGCACGCACCAATCCATAGTTCCCATCGTGCACATGGTTTGAAAGAAGAGGGATGTGTGTAGGTGTGCGTCCTCGTGGTCTCGCTTCTCTGTTTTTGTGTGCATGCGTTCCGTGTCATAACCATGGCAACCGGCACTAAATCTGTCCTCCGCAGCGCAGTCCGAGACAGCCACAGTTTACAGGGAATGTCTGTTCAATCTGTTCACAGCTTTATAGCAGACTTGAGCATGGCTTGATTTGTTGAGGGTTTTTTTTTTCATTAGACTGGTCCATCTTCAGTTTGTCTGGATTTCAAAGCAAAAATTTTGTTTGAGATCAATTATCCATCCATTATCCTAATTTCAGTCACTGCTGAGCTGGAGCTGATCCCAGCTGACTGGGTACACCTTGGACAGGTTGCCAGTTCATCGCAGTGCGCACGTAGACAAACAACCATTCACATTCATGTTCATACCTATGGACAATTTATATTCTTCACTCAGTCTATGCTTGTTTTTGGTATGTGGACATAGCTGGAGTACTCCACACAACTCCACACAGGTAGGCCAGAACTGAGTTTTGACCTCAGAACAAAACTTCATCAACTACATCCATCCATTTTCCAATTCGCTTTATCCTCACAAGGGTTGCGGGGGGTGCTGGAGCCTATCACAGCTATCTTCGGGCAGTAGCCGGGGGACACCCTGAACCGGTTGCCAGCCAATCGCAGGGCACACAGAGACGAACAACCATCCGCGCTCACACTCACACCTAGGGACAATTTGGAGTGTTCAATCAGCCTGCCATGCATGTTTTTGGAACGTGGGAGGAAACCGGAGTACCTGGAGATAACACACGCAGACCCGGGGAGAACATGCAAACTCCACACAGGAAGGCCGGAGCCGGGATCGAACCCACGACCTTTGCACTGTGAGGTCGACGCGCTAACCACTGGACACCGGGCCGCCTTCATCAAACTACATTTGGAGTAATTTGTCTGCCATCGTAAAACCATTAAGTGTACAGGCAATGTTAGTCACATTTGATCTTTTGCTAATGATTACACAATATTAAGCAGAAGTTACCCATTCTGCCATAAACATGTTAAAAACTTCCATCCGTTCGTTTAGCTAGCCAGTCGGTGTCTAAATAGCAGCATGGGAAGTTAATTTAGCTGTTTGCATTTTCTCTGTGCTGCTTTTCATCAAACAGCAGTCAAATGTGCTTCATCGGCCAACAGTGGTTTGCAACTGAAGTAGAAAATGTGAATCATTAAAAACTTGCCCAGTAAAAACAATAACGGATCAAAATCGTGAAAAATCTCACCATTGCTTCTGCTCTCAATAATTTGGATGTGTTTGCTGAATGCGCTGAAACCAAATCCTACTGTCAATATAATACCTGTACGTCTGGCATCTTTCTTATGCTTACACATCCATACGTTTGAGCCGTGAAAATATATCCACTTAAAGAGCACCGGATTTTCACTGGGCTTTTCTGGCTACCACGTGTGGGGCTAGCCACTAGCTAGCTAGCAAGATATTCGGGCTCCTCTCGGTTGACAGTCGGGCAACGGGCTCCTCCACGGTATAACCTCCTCACTTGGTGCTGTGTTGGTTTGCTGGTCACACAACAGGGACACTTCAGAGAAAGTCAACCGTTTTTATTTAACACAGTGGCACGTTACTCAGCCAGTGACTCACACTACATGACAGACATTTGAATGCATATTTATTCGTTATTAGTATTTCTTACATCAATGAATGACTACAAAACATACATGTTCAATCGATACTCAATGAGAAATAAATACAAAGTGTAGTTACACTTTCCTGGCTCGGCACTGGCATATTATTAATAATGAAACATCTGCGCATCCTCATCAAAGCTGTGTCTCCATGTCAGCCTTGTCCCCCTGGGCTTGTTGTCTCTTTGATGTCGTACAGTAAAGTGGCGTAACGACATGGTTGCCTCTGTACAACATCACTGAGCACCACACACACACACACACACACACACACACACACACACACACACGTAGATGCAGAGACATTCCCTCAAACAGATCATAAACAAGTGAACCAATTCATATCGTCTTGGGGCACAGTTATTAAATAAATTTGTCCCATTGATCAATTTTATATTTGTTGTGCTCATTAGAGTCACTTGTTGGCTGGAGTCGGTCCCAGCTGATTTTGAGTGAGAGATGGTATTGAGTTGGAAGATCTTGACGAGGGCGTTGGCCCTAACCCTGTCAAACAATTTTGGGATGAACAGAGACTTTGAGAGGGGTGGAGCATCAGCATTATTTCATCCATAGTCTTTCTAGAGGAGTAACAATATCTTTGTCACTGGCTCTCTTCAGCTGATTGTGACTATAATTATGGTTCGTCAGTTAGTACAATGAGAGTTGAAATGCTTTGTTGTAGGAGTTGACAGTAAGCATAAAGCCTTCCTGTCATGTGTGACACCTCCCTTTTTGTTTACATTTAAGATAGCAGTTTAGGCTCCACTGAAATGCCCTGAAAGATTTTGTAACACACAGATGGCAGTTTCGACAGTGTATTTATGTTCACCAAGCTTGCAGTCGATTAGTGTGGGGCTGCGGGCGTGAGGCAAATGTGAGGTTCTCAAAGTGGGAGCGGAGTGGCATGATTTTGCCCGGAGTGTGAAGTGTTTTTTTTCTTCTTTTTTTTTTTTCAAAGTAAGAGCATCTGTGTTCGCTCTAGCTTTAGGAAAAAGAGCACCATCCCACAAGCCTGTGTGTTCAAACATGGGCAGGAAAAAAAAGGGTAGATTTCACTTCTCTCTCAAATCTGACTCAGTCTTTTATGTTACGAACAGCAAAAGGACATATTCCTCCACTAACATCAACAACCTTCACATTTGAAATTATTTTTTGAAACTCACTGGTTAGCACTCCCATACACCCATGTGCAGAGCCACTATAGATAGATTTTAAGGGCCAATCATTTGTTTTCTGTGGTTGTTGTAGTCACCGTATGGTGGGCCATCCCACACAACGACAATGTCAGGAAAATCAAACCATTTGAATAATTTCAACCGCCAGAAACACCGCTACGTTGAGATGATCACATTCAAACATATCAATCAATTGATTCACACATTTTCTATTGCGTTTTCTTCCTCATTAGGGTCAAGGGTGAGGTGGAGTCTATATTACTGTATAGCCTGGACTGGTTCCCAGCCAGTCACAGGCCACATACAAAAAAGCATTCACACTCATATTCACACCTATGGGTACAGTCAAACCTCATTACAACGTGCCTGTGATGTTCACAGTAGCGAAAACAAAATCAATGTCTTAAACAACCTCTCTGTTATGTGGTGATTTATTCTTTTCATAATACAGCGTCGATTGACAGAGTCAGCAGCCTGAGATCTGTGATGGACGATGATTAAAAGAATTTGGCTTCAAAATGGTTTCAAAATCAATCTTGCATGCAGCGAAATCAAGAAGAGCACAGTTGACCACTGTTGATATCCGACGTGGTAACTGAAGTGAAATAAGAGGCAGTTACTTCTATGCTGGTATGGTGGTGTGTGATGCAGAAAGAGAGTGAAGGAGTGAGCGAGCGAGGCAAATAGAAGCACTTGTGTCTACTTGGAAGTAATGTTTCAAATTTCAATGGATCAGTAAAGGTGGTGAGTGTGCGGGTGGATGTCAGTGCACATCCCCTCTGCCACTGAGTCCTCGCGCTGTTTCTCTTTGTGCTTGTATTTTAAGAGCAGGCATTAGCATCACCAAGCGGTAATCACTGTTGGTGTTCTACATGCAGTATTTTCCGACACATACCCTATAGAGAGGTTGCCTGAGATATGAGTGACTCGACTCCATGAGTTTTTCGCGATATGGGCTGTCCTTTGGCTGTTACGAGTGCAGACTTGACACAGGAGCACTGTATAGTTGGAGTGAACTCAACTCATTTCACAATAAGCAGCACTTTGGCAACTACAGAGCAAGTTTTCAAAATAGAGGCTTTAAGCTGTCTATTGCCTCTCCCACTTGAGGTTTACTGTCCAACCAAACATAAAACAAAGATAACCACACTTTTTGTGTTTAAATCAACAACATGGATTAGCCTTTCAGTCCGCTAGCTTATCTACAGTATGTTGCGGTGGTGTAACCCTTTTAGGAAAGGCTTGAACACAAATGGTGCCGTAGCACATGTAGAAGGACAATATAGTAGTACTCAAAATCATATATACTTTATTCTCTATGAGGAATGACTGATACTAGTGCCGTAACTGACCTGAACTGAGAGAAGTTGCATATCTAAAGTGAGCCACGATATAGCGAGGGACGACTGTATAGGCCATTCTGAACATTGTTAGAGGTATGGGGTGTCTGCTATTCACAACCATTTGGTATTCTTGGTCTTTAACCTCCGCAAATTGCAAGGGTTCACTGTATATTAGTTTTTTTTCTTTCCTGAAACCCCATTAAATCCTTGCGAGATTGGGCATATATGTTTTACTTGAAAGAGACTTCAAAAGAGGCGTGAATTAGCTTGAATAATTTCCAACTTCTTTTTGTCTTGTTTCTATGCTTGCAGCACGCTTGAGTTCACTTGCCAAATGGCGTCATTAACCTTTGGCCAATCATGGATCAAATGGTAATTACACGCTTCAGATGCATGTGGCAAAGCACTCATACTGTGCTCACTCTTATAAGTACAAGCAGTAGGGATGTGATGCCGTGAATGAATGATATTCCAGAAGTGTGTGTGTTTGTGTGTGTTTGTGTGTGGGAGGAGCGGGGGTATTTCTACGCAATTAGTACTGAATGTGGCCCATACACCAAATGCTAAATACTTTTACCCTGGAGAACTCTGTGCTAATGCGGCTAAGTGTAAACCTCTCTAACTGTATCGGAAAGCTAAAAGAGGGCACATTCCGAATTTGTTGGTGAGACATTATACAGTTGCAGTCACAACACT